TTGACTTGGTGTTGTCAGCACCACGCTCACCCAGTGAGCTAACCGGCCATCCCTATATGGGATCCGAACCCGGGGCCTTGGTGTTATCAGCACCGCACTCTCCCGAGTGAGCCACGGGCCGGCCCAGTGAAATTACTTTTTAAGAAATTTAACTCTAAATTAAATTTTATTCTGATTTAAATTCATCTCGGAAAAATACGCCTGACAGGTGGCCTTTATGTGATCTCTCTCATTTAAAAACATACTCTATTGGCTGGCCAGTTAGCTCAATTGATTAGAGCGCAGTACTGTAACACCAAGATCAAGTGTTCAGGTCCCTGGACCAGCCAGCTGCCAAAAACAAACAAACAAACAAACAAACAAAACCCCAACATACTCTATCAATGAATTCCATCATTCCTGTCTTTTAGTTAAAAGATTTTCCCTTGACAAAAAGCTTTCCACCAACTCTACATTTCACCTTACCTTAAAGATGAAGAAACATTTACATAACAACTGTATAATTATGGATCAACCAGTAATTTGATTTTGGAGAGGTTCAATAAGCCGTAAGACCAGAAACAGCAACATAAGACAAAAATAGGTTTGAAAGAATTTGAGGTATTTTAATCAATTTCTTAGTAAAAGCCATGTGGATTCTATTTAGCTTAAGTCACATGTAACATGGCACTTTACGTTTCCATATACACCTACATGGAACACCTAGCCATTATTCTAACAAAATAAAGTAAAACAAAATGAAATAAAACAAACTCTAATACAGCATATATTTTTATGACAGTAACACATTCTAGTAAGGATTATTTAAATGCAAAAAGACCTAGTCATCTGCTATAGATTCAATTAAGTTTTTGCTAATATAACTTGAAAGACAAAATGTCATTTAACCATATATTCCTTTACAGCAGGATTTCTCAACCTGAACTCTAACGACATTTTGGGCTGGATAATTCCTTTTTTGTGGGGGCTGTTCTTTGCAACATAGGATGTTTAGGACATCCATGGCTTCTACCAACTAGAGGCCAGCAGCACCCACCCAATTGTGACACCTAAAAACGTCTCCAGATATTGCCAAATGTCCTCTGTGGGATAAATTCACCCCCTATTGAGAACCACTATTTTAGGGTACATCACATTTCCTATCTTTTTCACTCAACAGTTAGTCAACTGTTGAGTGTGCAATAAAATTCTGAAGGAAGTACAGAGGCTAATAAAAAAAGTTATTTTTAATTAAAGAAGACTTAAGGCATCATACTGACATCTACTGGCTTGGTACTAAACTGTACATTTGACATACTTTTTTTTTTTAACCCTCAAAATTAAACAATATAAGGGCTATTCTGGGAAAGTAGAACAATTAATTGAAAGCATAACATTAACATCAAAACTATTAATTTTATGTAAAGCCTAACATATACAATAACAGTACTAATTGTCTATTGCTTCCTTAGTTTTAGATCAACTGAATTTTTAATGAATGCTTTTAGAGACTGATAATTAGATGGAATTTTTTGGTGATGAGTAAAAAAAACTTATCGTTTACAAAACTTGCAAAATTAAGCAGCATGCTGTTTTATGATTTATACTGAAATTTTAAAAGATGGACTGAAAAAATTTAAAACCTAATAATAATTCTGTAAATAAAATTAAAAGTTTCCAGGCATTTTAATAAAAGACATTTGGTAATTAAATACTACTATCAATTAAATCGATGAACTTTATTGGGGTTAAAACTATAACAAAGTTCATCCTAAAACATTTTGCAATGCAAAATTATTTCACTCAAGGAGTGTTTAATAATTTGAATGCTAGGAATTACAAGCAATTTCCAAAAGCAAAGACTCACATTCATAAAACTTTATACATCATTTGAACTAACAGATATACTACTAAAATTAAACATGCATCACCTTCAAACACTCTTGTATCGTGATTTTATATATTACATTATTTAACACCATTTCCCATCATTACACAAATTCTATCATACACTTGCACCATTCTCCTTGGATTTCTGATCTTTGTCTTCATTCTTTACATTATCCTATAAAACAATAGACGACAAAAAATTACATTTTATTAGATTCTCTAATATCTCGGTGCCAAAAAGTTTCCTTCAACACTGCCTAACAATAAATGGGTTTTAAAATAAGTGAACAGTTTTATCTTCCTCAAGTTCAAACTCACTCTCTGGTTCTGAAAGTAATACATGTAAAATTTGCTTTAAAAAGTCTGTCCACTTAATCACGTTGATATTCCAACTAAGTTTTAGGAAAATATAATCTTTTGGGAATCACTTTTGATTAATTAGAAAACCACTAAGAGTTTAATAATTAAAATAAATTAAAAGTGTCAGAAATAAATTAAAAGTTGGAATAAACCATAAAAATGCTGCAAGTACAAAATTTCTAACCTTCTTGAGGACAGTGTGGATTTCATCCATTACTGTAGATAAGTTTCGGATTGTCTTATTCAGTTGGTTTTCAAATTGCAAGTTCAGGTTTTCTGAAATCTTTAAGTTTTCTTGTAACTGACTAAGATCCTTTTTAACTTCTCTGAGTTCACCAGAGAGGCTTTTGTTGGAATTCTCCAAATTTAATATGGTTTTTTCATCTTCATCTGTTAAATAATAAAAATAAAAAATTCACCATTTTACCCCTAAATTTTCCAGTTTAACTCTGCAGTTAAAAACATTCAAGGTATAAATATAAAAAGCTGACACATTTTGTAAAATGGTCATAAATATCCACTTCATTAGTTAAAAAGCACACTGCAATATGCATTTTATTTAAATTTAGTTTTAACTAGGATTATTTCTAAACCCAGGTACCATTTTTAGATGACTGTATAGAATGGAGAAAGAAGCTGGTAAAAACTAAGGAGAACTACAAGATTGAAAGGATACAAAAGAACAACAAGGAAACCTGAGAATGCACGTGAAGAGCTAAGATTCTTATAAAGCTAAGTAATTTTATAACCTGAAAGAGAAATGGTCAAAAGTAGTTACGTACATGCCTAGATTAAAATGCAAGGTATGTATACGCATGTGTGCATGGGTAAGTATATGTGTATATAACACCATATATCCCAACACTGTGTTAAAAGTACTCACATATCTAATGCTGTTCCTTACCTGTTTTTTCTTCTAGTAACTGCAGCTTCTGTTCTACTTCAGCTCTTACTTTTTCACTCTTTTCCAATTTTTGCAAGAGGCTTCCTACATCCACCATTGCACCATTGTACACAATAAGGCCAACATTTTCTTCCATATCCTTTGATTCCTGCTTTACTGTTGGTGTTGGAAGTAATAACCTGTTTCCTTTAATATAAAAGATACCATATTTATTTTCTCTTCTTTAATTAATGAACACTATATTTATAAAAAAGCAAGATCTTAAAATAATATACTCAAACCTAACATATCTTCATGCAATGATTCAGACTCTTCATGGTTTTCTTCATCTTTTGAGGTATCTGTCAATTTCCGGTAAAAGCAAGATTCACGAAGCACTACTTTATTAAGAAGCTTCTTTACCTGTTATGCAAGCAAGTAAATAACTTAAAAAGATAAAAATATGTTTTTTAATTCCTAGAACTACATTCTAATTTTCACCTATGATGAACACCCATGCAAAGTGTTTTCTCAGGTATCCCACTCCTACTTGATTAGAGCAGCTATGCTTTTAAGTGTCTTCTCTATAAATTTAAGATCCAAGTCATCATTTAAAAAAAAATTCCATTGTTAAAACAGAAAACATTGGGCCAGCCCAGTGGCGCACTGCTACAGTGCGCCGTTTGGGAAGTGCAGCGGCGCTCCCGCCGAGGCTTCGGATCCCACATGCAGACCGGCTGCTCACTGGCTGAGCGGGGAGCGGGGGCAACACCGAGGGTTGCGATCCCGTTGCCGGTCCCGAAAAAAGACAAAAAAAAAAAAAAAGAAAAAAAAAAAAAAGAAAAAAAAAAAAAAGAAAAAAAAAAAAAAGAAAAAAAAAAAAAAGAAAAAAAAAAAAAAGAAAAAAAAAAAAAAGAAAAAAAAAAAAAAGAAAAAAAAAAAAAAGAAAAAAAAAAAAAAGAAAAAAAAAAAAAAGAAAAAAAAAAAAAAGAAAAAAAAAAAAAAGAAAAAAAAAAAAAAGAAAAAAAAAAAAAAGAAAAAAAAAAAAAAGAAAAAAAAAAAAAAGAAAAAAAAAAAAAAGAAAAAAAAAAAAAAGAAAAAAAAAAAAAAGAAAAAAAAAAAAAAGAAAAAAAAAAAAAAGAAAAAAAAAAAAAAGAAAAAAAAAAAAAAGAAAAAAAAAAAAAAGAAAAAAAAAAAAAAGAAAAAAAAAAAAAAGAAAAAAAAAAAAAAGAAAAAAAAAAAAAAGAAAAAAAAAAAAAAGAAAAAAAAAAAAAAGAAAAAAAAAAAAAAGAAAAAAAAAAAAAAGAAAAAAAAAAAAAAGAAAAAAAAAAAAAAGAAAAAAAAAAAAAAGAAAAAAAAAAAAAAGAAAAAAAAAAAAAAGAAAAAAAAAAAAAAGAAAAAAAAAAAAAAGAAAAAAAAAAAAAAGAAAAAAAAAAAAAAGAAAAAAAAAAAAAAGAAAAAAAAAAAAAAGAAAAAAAAAAAAAAGAAAAAAAAAAAAAAGAAAAAAAAAAAAAAGAAAAAAAAAAAAAAGAAAAAAAAAAAAAAGAAAAAAAAAAAAAAGAAAAAAAAAAAAAAGAAAAAAAAAAAAAAGAAAAAAAAAAAAAAGAAAAAAAAAAAAAAGAAAAAAAAAAAAAAGAAAAAAAAAAAAAAGAAAAAAAAAAAAAAGAAAAAAAGAAAACATTGATAGAAATATTAACACAGAGATTAAGATTCATGAACAAAGACGTTTATTTCAGCATAGTTTGTAATTCCAAAAAATGGAAACCACCAGCAATAGGGACTAGTTAAGTCAATTATGGTATATCTACATAATGGAATATTATGCAGCTATAATAAGAATGACATAGGTCTCTATTTGTTTTTACGGTAGAATATCCATAGTATACTGTTGAATGAAAAAAAGGCAATCAATATGTATAAAATGATTTCATGTTTTGTTTATAAAAATAGAATCATATATACCTGAGTTGCTTACAAAAATATCTATGAAGTTATAATATTAGCCCCAAGTATTAGAACTTTTTTTTATTTTATACATTTCAGTATGCTTGGCTTACAATTAGCCTGTACTGTACTGTTTTTATACATCAACAAGTCAACAGAGATTAAAAAGATAAGCTCCAATCTATGGAATTAAATACATTAATTTATTCTATTACCTTTTCTTTTAAGTAACTTTTTGAAAAATAACTAAAAAATGCTTTCATATTAAATAATCACAACATAAATTACCTGAGCCCGAGAGAGATGTAGTCCAAGAGTATAAAGTATTTCTTCCAAATCCTTTTCAAGAAGGTAACCACAATGGCTTTGATCAAAATAAACAAAAGCCATTAATAGATCTCTGTTAATTGTGATCATCTGAGTCTTCTCTTTTTCCTAATAAAAATACAGAAGTAGAAGACATAATATATAATTTTTTACCCCTGAAAAGTGAGAAATTGAGACTGTATCCATATAATAGCCAATAATCTAAAAAGACCTTTGCCTCATCCTATAAGTTAATTTAGTATATAAATATGGAGGAAGGAATGAGACATACTGGTTATCTGACACAGCCACAAACACCAAAAAACAACTACTGAAGTTGCTTACTAGTAATATGTAGACATAAAAGGGGACTAATTGACTTTATAACTATTATTTATAGTAATAAGTTTAGTTTATATAAGACATGAAAATCTCATATTATGAAGAATGCAGTATTTAATAAGTACCTTATCTTTAGAGGGCCTCTCCTTGCAGTACCTGTTCATATCTCTTTTATCATCTCGCTTGTTCATTTCTTCCTCATCCCGATCTGTAAAATAAATATAACAGCAGCAAAAACTCATAAATACAGATATTTTCAAGAGCTACTCTTTCATTACAGAACAGTTTTAAAATGATGAAATAGCAAAAGAAATATTATATGAATAAAACTAGTTCAAATGTTGTAAGAAATAATTACAAAGAACAAGAGGAGGAAGAATATTAAAAAGAGATTAAAGGGACAAAAAAATTGACTTTACTAAATCAATTAAAATGCCTTAATTCCATAAAAATTTGAAGGATATATTTCAAAAACTTAATTAGTTTTATAAATAAAGTTGAAAACTACAACACAAATTTAAACAAAGTATATTTTCTAAAAGCCAAAAGAAAAAACGGCCCACATAGTAAAACCACATACATTATTTCAAAGTAAAACTTCATACAAGAAATTTAAATGTTCTTAAAATAATTCAGATGATCTAAGTGTTAATATCTAGATTTGCTGACACTAACATATGTGTCCCATATGATACAAGATGGACACCTGGATAATTTATTTCTAAAAACAAGAAAGGGAAAATTTACAGAATTATTTTTATTTTTATTTTTTTTTAAAAGATGACCGGTAAGGGGATCTTAACCCTTAGCTTGGTGTTGTCAGCTCCATGCTCACCCAATGAGCTAACCGGCCATCCCTATATGGGATCCAAACCCGGGGCCTTGGTGTTATCAGCATCGCACTCTCCCGAGTGAGCCACGGGCAGGCCCCAGAAAGGGAATATTTAGACAGCGATATGTAGACAGAAGACAATGTGAAGATATATATAAGGAGAAGATGGCT